AGTTTTTGTAACTTTTATTAATTATTTATTCCATTAATACTTGTTCGTTATTTATTGTTCATTAGTTTCTAAATTTACTATTTATTTAATTAATTATAAATGCTATAATAAATTTAAATTTTATATTGAAAACACAAAATATAATTTGATTTTCTAAAAAAAACAAAATTCATTTTGGATTTTCTAAAAAAGCACTAAATGAATTTCAGTTTTCTTAAAACAAAAAACAAATTCAATATTGCGTTTTCTTAGAAATCCCTATTTTTTTTTTTGCGATTTTGTTCTTTTTTTTCATTTCTCTATAATTACATTATTTTCCTTATTAAATCAACTATAATGATCCTTCTTAAAAATTTGCCAAAGTTCAAGGCATGGGAATGGGAAGAGAGTAATGGTTGGGGTTCTAAAGAATCCATATACAATTTCAAAAGTATTTAGACGGTTTAAAGGTGATAAATCCAAATGATGATTCAAGTGGTCAATTTAAATGATGGCAATCCATAAGCGGTCAAAAAGATCAAAATTGGGAGCTAATACACAATATGAATAGGCTAACTTTGCCTATATTGATACAACTACCATCGCAAAATATTGTACATCATCCTAAACCCTAAAAAACCCTAAACCCAAAAAAGGGAGAAATTATTCTATGCGGACATCAGACAGTTTGGAGACCAACCAGAACGCGCTACGTCACCTGGTACACAACGATACCGAGTACATGTACCGAGAAAAAAGTGACGTGATGCATTCTTGTTGGTGTTCGGACGAAGTCTGGTGTTCTTACAGAATAATTTTTTCAAAAAATGACTTAATAATACAAAGAGCAAAATATAGCTAGTCTCAAAAGACTCAAGAATACTAGGGTCAAATCTAAAAATATATACATATAAATACGCCTTGACCATATGTTATGCCGGTTCTGGCTGAATCGGCCCAGCCGGCCATCGGGTCGGTTTAGCAAATATACATGAGGCGGAGGTAGCCCGCCTCCTTCCCTTTTCCGCCCTTTAGGTGGGGCCCATCCAGCAAAATAAATTCAAAAGAGAAAATTGTGGGGCAGCTTAGGCTTTGTGAGGGAAAATTAATTAGGAAACCTTTTGTATTAAAGTGCATGAGGGAATTAGAGAGTTTTATGTTTTGATTGATTGAAATTAGGGTTCTTGGAGGCTTGGGTTCTAGACAATCTTGTCTAGAGATTTGGGAGAGATGATCCTCCTCTCGAATTGAGGATCTCTTGTATCTTTGTTTTGTTCTTGTTTCTCTTTGATTGTTATAAGATTTGCTATAATTTGTTTGTTCTTCCACCACGATTCTTTTGTTTTCTCTTTTTACTAATTATTGATTATGTTCGAACTCAAGTATTTCCTATCAAATTGGTATCACAGCAAGTCTTAAGACCGGTGGAGGGCTGTTTTCGACAAATTACAATAGCAATTTTTTGCTAAAAACAAGAAGAAGTTGCTGATTTTTTACCCCAAAATCCTGATTTTGTGAACCTACAAACTCCGGATTGTGATGACGGCCAAAAAAGTGGATGCCATGGAGGAAAGACTCGAAGGGGAGATGAATCAAATCAAAAAGACGGTGGAGAAAATGATTTCTTCAATGGAGGGACAAGTTGCTGATCTTCGAGATATGATGAAAAAAATGTTGGGAATTCAAAATCAAATGACGGCTTCAGTGGAAAAAGGGAGGGAAGAAAAAAATACGAATTCTGAAATTCGTAGGGAGGAAGATGAGGTGGAAATCATGGAAGGAGAGGGAAGAAGATCCCATATGGAGACTGTCCAGAGAGAAGAAAGAGGAGGAGGATATGGGGAACGCCAGGAGGGATACTATGGACACCGAGGTGCTGATTTTGAAGACAAAAGGGGAGATTTCGAAGGGGGATTGGGATATGGCAGAACAAGGGAAGACCGGAAAACATGGGGTGCACCTAGCACCTAGCGCTTGGGAGAGGGGAAACAATGGAAGAATCAAGGGCATTGAGGGCGACCAGAAGGTGAGGAAGTTGAAGATGCCCATATTGGAAGGAGAAAACGCGTATGGGTGGATTTACAAGGTGGAGCGATGCTTCGCCGTCAATGGGCTGACGGAGGAGGAGAAGATGACCGCAGCCGGATTATGCTTGGAAGGAAAAGCCCTATAGAGGGAATTAATGGAAATCATTTTGTCCATCCAGAAGTGGTGACCCTACCTACTTGGGAGACATTTCGTTGTCAGGACAAACCAGCGAAGCTTGAAATACCTGCTGGAACAACAGATGGTGAGAGAGGAGCATCAAAGGTGGATGACCAAGTTGCTCGAGTATGACTTTGAGATCCAATATACGCCAGGAATGGAGAACAAAGTGATAGATGTCTTGTCCAGATGTATGGAGTGGCTACATGCAGTGGCAATATCTGTTCCTCTTATGCTTGATTGGGAGGCCATCAGAGAGGAAAGTGCGAGAGATGAAGGTTTGGGAAAGATCATGTCAGATTTACTGACAAAAGAGGGTAGCCACCCAGGGTATGCATTGGAGGGAAACAAACTGCTATATCATGGGAGATTTGTGATGCCTCGGTCCTCGATTCGCATCCCAAACTTACTTCAGGAGTTTCATGGAAGTGCAGTAGGGGGGCATTCAGGTGTATATAAGACATACATGAGGCTAGCGGTGGAATTGTACTGGAAAGAGATGCATAAAGATGTAGAGGAAATGATGGCCAGATGTAAGATATGCCAAAGGAGTAAGTACCTGGCTATGTCACTTGGAAGAGTGTGGGAGGAGATATCTATGGACTTTATATAGATGGGTTGCCCCGCTCAGAGGGGTTCACAGTGATCTTGGTGGTGGTGGACAGGTTGAGCAAGTATGCACATTTCATTTCCCTCTGGCACCCCTAAACAACAGTGACAGTGGCTTCAACTTTCATCAGGGAGGTGGTCAAATTATATGGAGTACCCGAGGCGATCGTATGAGACAGAGACAAGGTATTCCTCAACCCTTTTTGGAGAGAATTGTTCAGATTGCATGGGACAATTCTGAAGAGGAGTATAACTTACCACCCACAGACGGATAGCCAGACGGAAGTAGTCAACAGGAACTTGGAGATATACCTGATATGCTTTGTGTCAGAGACACCCAAGCTATGGGCTAAGTGGCTATCATGGGCGGAGTATTGATACAACACATCTTTTCATTTTGCTTCACAGACGACCCCATTCAAGGTGTTGTGCGGACGGGATCCTCCACACTTGGTGCACTTTGGGAGTAGCAGTACTCCCATTTCTTCAGTAGAAGAATACTTGGAGGAGAGGGATCGAGTGCTAGAGGAGTTGAAGAGGCATTTACTACGAGCTCAACAAATTATGAATAAACAAGCAGATGAGCATAGGAAAGACATCTAGTTTGAAGTGGGGTATAAGGTGTTCTTGAAGCACCAACCATATAGGCAGAGGACAGTCTCCAACAGGAGGAATGAAAAGTTGGCTCCAAGGTACTATGGGCCTTATGAAGTGCTGGAGAAGATTGGGGCAGTGGCATATCGACTGAAATTATCACCATCGATGATGATACATCTAGTTTTTCACGTCTCACAGTTGAGAAAGACCATTGGTGACTACACAGCCAACCCTGAGCTACCTGCGACACTTACTGAGGATTTAGATGTGATTTTGGAACCCTTAGAGCTGATGAGAGTTCACCAGAAAGAATATGGAACTAAGGAAGTGTTGATCCAGTGGAAGAACATCCCTGACTACGAGGCCATCTAGGAGCCATACGAGAGGACGAAATAGTAGTTTCCGGGTTTTCACCTTGAGGACAAGGTGGTTCTTTGGGAGGGTGCTAGTGTTACGCTGGTTCTAGCTGAACCGGCTCAGCCAGCCATCGGGTTGGTTCAACAAGTATACATGAGGCGGAGGTAGCCTGCCTCCTTCCCTTTTCCGCCCTTTGGGTGGGGCCCATCCAACAAAACAAATTCAAAAGGGAAAAGGGTGGGGCGGCTTAGCCTTTGAGAGGGAAAATTAATTATGAATTTTTTTGTATAAAAGTGCATGAGGGAATTAGAGAGTTTTATGTTTTGATTGATTGAAATTAGGATTCTTGGAGGCTTGGGCTCTAGACAATCTTGTATAGAGATTTGGGAGAGACAATCCTCCTCTCGAATTGAGGATCTCTTGTATATTTGCTTTGTTCTTGTTTCTCTTTGATTGTTATAAGATTTGATATCATTTGTTTGCTCTTCCACCACGATTATTTCATTTTCTCGCTGTTTTTTTTTACTAATTATTGATTAGGTTTGCTTGCGAACTCAAGTAAATCCGATAAAATTACTTGCGAACACAAGTATTTCCTATCACCATCCTTAGTGCAATACAACAAGATTGACATATCAAACTAACTCTAGGGATTCATGCATCAAGTACCCTTGGTTAAATGCTAGGGCCAAATTGTGTTGAAAAGAAACCCTGGTATGCCAACACGAACCCAAAGCAAGCACATATAATATTTTGGTTTCATTTAGGACGGTTTTCTTACTATTTTTTAAAATAATTTAATAAGATATTTTAGAAAGCAATGAGAAAGCCGTCTTATTAACACACTATCAATATAAGCACCGAGCCAAAATGTACAAATCAGGCCACCTCTGAGAGAGAGCAAACAGCATCACTCCCAGCAAGCAAAGAGCACAAGCAAATATTGTCAACAATAGACATAAAATCAAAGCTGCACCCAAAATAGCAAATACTGACAACAATAAAAAAAAGACCAAAATCCTTGAAGCCAAATAGAATTCCAAACCAAATAATATCGATGAGAAGTTCTTGACATTTTAACTCCCAGGTCCTATCAAAATGTGTTTCACATCAATAGGCAACAGAAATTGTTCTACAAAGTTTCAAACCAACAAATAACTACGGATGTTGTCTATTTAAGAGCAAACAAAATGAAAATTTACCAACGAAGCAAGTCAATTTCATATTTTGAAAAAGAAAAGGAAGGCAACTCATCTTGAAATGCTGCAATTTTATTAGCAATGGAAGAGGTAGAGTAGATCCATAGATGTCAAAGAAAGATTTAACAAACGATTTGAGAGGATTTTGAATCGAAGAAGTGATTAACAAATCTTATCCACAATACAACTTCGCCAGAAAATGCCTAAGTTTTTATATTTACAAGAACTCAGGAAGATAAATATAAGAGAGTCAAGTGTCTTTTCTAGGAACATCACCTTGCATCTTCAAGTCGGTGTCTTTGTTCTTTTCCATGACCGACTTTATCCCTTCTTGATAACCTTGTATGAAGCTTTTAAGGGCATCTCTATAAGCAGAAGCGCGAGTCATGTAAAGCCGCTGCAGAGCTGGCCTTAAGGTTTCCATGCCACCTCGTGCTGCCACTGCAAGATCCTCCAACGTGGAAGGCTCTTCATTTTTAGAACTGGCATTTTTCCCCTGATCACCATTGTCATTTTTCTTCTTCTTATAGTCATTAGGTCTTAAATCAGGGCCAATATCCCTGACCCAACTAATTGCATAAAGCCTAGAAGCTTCTTTTAAAATTAGCCAGCGTTCCATCCATGTAAGCTTTCTGCGTTTCTTTATATGAGGAGGATCAGGTAAAGAGGAGGGGAATGCGATTTCCTTGAGATCATAACGGATGTAGTCATACACTTTCCTACTGACTGTCCTCAATTTCATACTTCTGCCAAATTCTTTCCGCTAGAAGTATGAACAGGTCTTTGAACAGCCGGATCCTGCACGAATCTTAAAGAACATGGACAAATTATTCCTTTACTCCTGTTGGTATTTTTTATAAATTTGGCGTATGTGAGTTGACCGCTTACTCAGCTTCATCTTCAGACAATAACTTATGATTGAAAAAAAAAACCCTTCTTGTTGGTAAGTATTCAGAAAGAAGATTCACTCAATTTAAAAATTTATAAGTATTGAAATAGTATACAAAATGAAAGGGCCAAGTAAAGTTTGTTGCTCTTGTAAGGCCTTTAATGGCTGCTGTATAAAAAAATACATCATCATTCTTTTCCAATTGTTCGGATAGCTTTACGAATTCCCATATTCTTCAATTATTTGAGTTCAAGCTATATGGGATGACCATATTTTATGAGAATTTTATTGCACAACTTTTAGTCATGTCACAATCAGTCCACACTTAGACTCCTTTCTAATTTTTTCCATGTTAATTTTATCTATTCGTATATAAATACATCATCTATCCTTGATTTTTAACATAGATAGAAATAGGAGGATCATTTCTATTAAAAAGAAAACTTTATAAGCTCTTTTCCTTTTTTTTTTATTAGAGGCAGTTTAATAATTAATATCATTTAGCTTTGGGTTCTTCTCTATAAATACCTATATCTTATATAAGAGAGGGTAGCTTTTTATTTTCAGAAAATTTATTTCAGGCTATCTTGAGAATTAATAGATATTATGATTCGTAGGAAGATAAATATTCTATGCATTCAGGAAATTAAATGGGTTAGAGAGAAGGCTGAGGAGATTAATAGTTTAGAATTTAAACTATAATATTTTGGTAGGATACGTATTATAAATGATATAGGTGTGATTATAGAAGAATTAAGTGAATATGTCATTTTTTTTTTTACTATGGGAGAGAATTATGGAGCATAGGTTGTGATGTGATACTAATATTTCTCAAAATCAATTTGGATTCATGCCGGGTAGGTCAACTATGGAAGTTATCATTTATTGAGAGGTTTGATAGAGAAGTATGTAGAGAATAAGGAGGATCTACATATGATATTTATTGATTTATAGAAAGCATATGATAAAGTTCCAAGAGAAGTGCTATGGAGAGTTCTAGAAAAGAAAGGGTTAATAATGCTTATATTCAAGTTATTAAGGATATATATGCAAGAACTGTTACTTGTGTTCAAACACAAGGTGGTTTGACCAAGTATTTTCCTATTTTAGTTGGATTATATCAAGGATCTGCCTTAAGCTCATATCTTTTTGCTTTAGTTATGGATGTTCTCACTAGACATTTGCAAGAGATTGTACCCTGGTGTATATGCTTTCGCTGATGATATTCTTCTTGTTGATAAGACTAGAGAGGGAGTTGAAGGTAAACTTGAATTATTGAGGTTAACCTTAGAGTCTAGAGGCTTTCATTTAAGTAGATCTAAAATTGAATATATAGAGTGTGGTTTTAGTAATAATAGATGTAGCGGTGGATTATGACTTTGGACAATCAGGTCATTAGTAAGAGTACACATTTTAGATATCTTCGGTATATTATTTAGAGTGATGGTGAAATAGATGGGGATATTATTAGTAGAATTTAAGTTGAATAGTTGAAGTGGAGGAATGCTTTGGGCTTGTTGTTTGATAAAAAAGTTCCTCTGACACTTTAAAAAAAATTCTATAAGATAGTGGTGAGATCTGCAATGTTTTATGGTGTAGAATGTTAGCCATTAAAAGAGAAGCATAAAATTAAGTTAAGTGTTGCGGAGATGAGGATGCTCAGGTGGATGAGTGACTTTACTCTTAGAGACATGACACGAATTAAGAATACACATGAAAAGGTTTGAGTAGCTCTAGTGGAAGATAAGATTAAAGAGAGTCGCCTTAAATGGTTTAGTCACATAAAATGACCGCCTTCCGATGACATAGTAAGGAAAGTAGATGTATTAGATTTTACTTATGTTGTAGAGGTAGACCTAAAAAGACTTGGTTATAAAATATTAGAAATGGCCTTAAATGACATTTTTATTAGATTTAAATAGGGATTTGACTCTTAACAGGACAAATAGAGAAAAAATATTCATATAGCCGACCTCACATAGTGAGATAAAAGCTTGATGTTGATGCATCTTGATAATAGGGTGGATTACCCAACGTTCAAGATTTTGCCAAGATTGAGGAGAGGGGCGAGGAATCATAATGGAGTTCAATATTTTGCCAAGATTGATTGCAAAATCTCCTCTCTCTTTCCTGTGGTTCTCCCTTCCTTCTCGTGGAATCATTATCTTGGATTGAGCCATTTTTAGCAATTATGAGAGTAAAAATATGGCTTGGTCTACTTGTTGGGCTAAATTCCATCCACCCAAAACTGGTTCCAGGCCTTCCAGCTGCTCACCTTAGTTGTCCCTATTGGGATCCTACATTTTGGGTGCTTCTTTCTAGTAAATGAAAAGGTCGAGGAGGAAAATAGCCTGATGGCAACTCTGTCCATATTTTTTTAGGAATCTACAAGCATGTGATAGTAGTAATTCTGAGATTTTAGGATCTTGGTATGATCCCAATCGCTATAATCTTGAGGCAACGGTGAGGAACCATCATTGACTTCATTAACCATGAAGGAGAAAAATATATTGGGGAGAGAAGTGCTTGTAGGGTTTCCAACATTACTCATGAAAAAGAGTGGCTTCACCGCCATGCCATGTCGGGAGCAGGAGTGTGGTATTGAAATTTTTGAGTAGAGGCATAGGGAGTGGGCGTAGGTCAAGAGACCAAACCACTATTGGTTTGCATTTTTCTTTAGTTTTATTTTCTTGCAATTTATTTCCTCCAATCTTTTGGTTATATGCATTGTTGTGAAAAATTGTTGAAAATATAGTTTGAAATTTAAAAAATAAATTCTATAATAATAACATTTTATTTGTAATTAAATTCTTGTTTTATTAGATTGATCTTCAAAATATTTTAAGTTATTGTTCAGGCTTAGGGAGTGGACGAAATAAGCATATTCACGAAAATTTTGGAGAAGTTCCAATAACAGATAAGATTAGAGAGAGTCGCCTTAAATGGGTTTGGTCATGTAAAACGTCGGCCTTCCGATGACTCTATTAGGGAAGTAGATGTATTAGATTTGGCCTATGTTAAGAAAGATAGCGGTAAACTTAAAAAGACTTGGTTAGAAAATATTAGAAATGACCTTTCTTTATTAGATTTAAATGAGAATTTGACTCCTAATAGGACACAATGGAGAAAAATGATTCATGCAACCAACCCTACATAGTGAGATAAAGGCTTGATGTTGTTGTTGTTGTTGTTGTATTGTTCATACTTTAATTGGTTTGAAAAATATTAAAAGAAAATATTATATTAGTGTTTCTCTAAACGTTTCCGCACAAGTTTTATATTTTTCAATACACACCAATTCACCCATCCCTCTTGGGTGTGTTATACAGTTTAGATTAGCATCAAACAACTTTAACTAGCTTGGACCACTTGTTCAAAAAACTCATTCTGAGCACTCACCAACCCAATAATCACTAGTCAAGAGCACTTTCCATAGATATTCGTCGGAGGCAGCCAAACCCACATCAAAGATATGGTTGTCTATGTGTAGCCATAGTGCTGCCCATATATATGTAACACTCAAATCATGCATTATTTACGATATCTCTAGATGTAGCCTCCCTTGTAGCTTTTCCAATCTTATAAATAAGGAGTTGAAAGGCATTTTTGACATCTTTATGTTATTTTCACTATTCACACTATTCACAGAGAGCAGTGGATTCTAGAGCTCTTCTCTTCATTCAATCACTCATCCTTCCTTCCTTGTCCTATCTGCCTAGCTAGACTTGCCAGTAGGGACAAGGTGTCACCCCCAAGTAAATTTGAATCCAACAATCTAGAAGACAGCTAATAAAAAATGTAGAATACGAGGGAAAAAGTGTGCTGTGTATTCTTTTTTTTTTTTGGTGATAAGTTTATGTTCATATTCTAAAAGGCTATGTGAGCTACATGGATTCAACAAATGCATATATTTTGGTGAGATGTATCTTACTTTCTTTGTTTTATGTGCATATTTATTTCCATAGTGATGGCTTATCGATGCGATCTAAGAGTTCTTATATTTTTCATGGAGTTGTAATTCTTTCATCATTTTAGACATGAAAATCAAAAAATAAAATTCTGATGATTTAGATAAGTAAAAGCTGTCATGGCCTATTTAATTAGGCAACAAAGTTTCAAAAACATAACAATTAGATAGGGTAACATTTCTAATTTTGATATGGCCAAATCAATTGTACAAGGTATGGGCAGTTAATATCTACCAAAATAAATCAAATTAGCTAAAATCTTTGAATACATTTAAATTTTCACCAAACAAAATATGATTATATAATTATTACAATCACTGATCATGGCAGAATCTAAATCCCACAAGCAACAAAAATGCTAGTGAAGACACTACCTATGTTTTTTATATCAATCTCATGATATACATCTTACAAGCCAACCGTTAAACTCTCAACTTTAACATGGTGAAGGAGCATTCTTATCCATTAATAATTGGGTAAGAATACACCTTAATTGAAAATTAACAACATATGAAAGGGAGGATAGTTCAAAAATGTATCAATAATCGATCAATATAATGCAAGCAGGAACAGTCATAAAGCAATACTAGACCATGATATTGTTGAAGAAATAAATGCACGTGTCAATTAGATGTATGCAACAACAACAATAAACCTTTATCCCACTATGTGAGGAATTAGATGTATGTGACAATAAAAATAATATCAACTTTCAATCATGTCAATGTCATATCAACAATTTTAGTTGACTAGAAATTAATCTACATAAGACGACATAAAAACAATCAACAAGTATGTCCAATTGAAGCTAAAATTGAAAAAATCATCATTCTTAAATAGCCTATTGACATCTTCTCTATCACATTGAGAAGATGTCTTCTCAATGAGGTACAGAAGAGACCTATCAATGCTAATATGAATCTGTGAGCTTCAATGGGACCATTGATCCAAGCAATGCGGCCCATTAGTCAGTAATAAATAAATCAGCTTGACAATATATTGATCATACAAATAAGAATATATCATCTCCTGTAGAATAATAATATTTCTATATTAACAAGCAACAGTATCAGGCTCATTAAGCAACATAACCATAATGAATATGTAGGATTCCAACATGCTTAATAATATGCCTTATGTTGTAATAAAATATGTAACAATAAGCATGCTCGGTTACGCTATTAACATGTAGTCAATAAACATGCTCATGCAACTATATAATAATCAACCCACCTTTAAAAAGCACGTGCACTAGCAACAGAACATAAGTTAAGAAACTTACTAATTAATGATAGAACAAGCTGGCTCAAACGCACCAAAAGTCGTCTTGGGCACTCGTCATTACTTCACCTTTTGGTACAAAACTGAAACAGAGAGTGCTACAACGACAATAACAACAACATCAAGCCTTTGTCCCACTAGCCTTTGTCCCACTACGTGGGGCCGGCTATATGAAACAAAGAGTACTGCAAAGCTAAATTCAAACATGTCGATCAAGCAAAGTTTAATATAATATAACAATAAGATTACGCAAGACATCTACCTACTACATGATTAAATTATATTTTCTTTCACATGTGAACATTCTCTTATGAAGGTTATTCCAAAACCTAAATATTCAATAAGTGCTCTACTAAGCAAATTGTAGACTCATACACCACTTTACCAACTATCTAGTCATGATTCAACCCAAAGAATTATATAAAAATCTAAACAAGCCTTCATGCGTACAACATATAACTAATTAAGTTCGTAGCATTGAGTTATGTAGTGGTAAACTCTGGCTAGATAAATTTAGCATTGACAACCCTTAAACTATCTTGACAATAATCCTTACCCAATTATGATTTACCATTAAATCCCGAGTTATTCATCTGTTAAAACCAAATTAAATTATAATTTCTACTTAAACGTAAAAGGGCTTCAAAATAAAATCAAATATAACAAACAAGTTATTAGTTAGAAATGGCTGAAGTGTTGAGCAGCATAGAAACAAATCAAAGACAATATTCAAATATGAAGTTACTTAAGATGCCATCCAATGTAAGGATAGCTGAAAGTGTTGAGCACTATAGTGATCATATCAACAATTCAAAGTAAATAACCAAAATGAAGTTGATTAAAATAATTCAACTATGAAATGCCATGACACATACAGAGCATGCAAAAAAATTGAAAGAAATCAAATTAAACAGAAATGATGAAGAAAAAACAACCATTCTTGCATTCATGGTGAAGTTACTGTAAATGACGACCACGATTCTCTTGGAGTCTTGAATTCCAATGATTCATGACATCTGACAAGATGAGTTCTTTGAAGATCATTGGCATGTAAGGTTACCTCATCAACACACCGCATTAGTAAACCTATGAATAACTTTCAGGCTTCCAACATTGTTTGACTCCATATCAGTTCAATTATTCCTCTAATAATTACTATGTTTTAAAATTGTATAATTTGAGAGACATGCCTCAACTTTTTGGCCAATTTCACCTTGAGGCATGTGTCCCATGGCCTTCCATATAAGGTGTATGCCATATATATAGTGAGGTGTATCTCACCTCAAGATGTATGAGGCATGTGCCTCATATTACTTAGGATTAGAGTGTTTTTAAACAAATATTAAAAAGATATTACAAATTAAAACCTCTTTCATTATTTATCTCCCTCACACAAGCTTGAGCCCCACTATTTCTCAATCTCAAGTCGGGGTGTCAATTTTGACACGACCCGAACACGACCCTGAAAAATCCGGGTTAGGGTCAACCCGGACCCGAAATGGGTTGGGTTCTGGTTCAACAAATCAAACCGCTTTAAAAATCGGGTCGGGTTCGGGTTGACCAAGCAACCCGAAAATGACCCGAAATTGACAAGAAAACTCCTATTTGACTCGGAAACCCAAGATTGACCCGTTTTTTGACCTGATTTTGACTCGAAAATCGAAGATTGACCCGATTTTTGACCTGAAAACTAGCAATTTCAGGTCAACTTCGAATCATTCGTGTCGGGTTGGGTTGACCCAGACCCGAATCGGGTCGGGTTCGGGTCCGAAAACCTGACCCATTTTTAAAAACGGGTCGGGTTCGGGTTGACCCGAACAGTGCTGGGACAGTTTCGGGTTCGACCCGAACCCGACCCGTTTACCTTGACACCCCTAATCTCAAGCAAAGCCTAACCCCCTCTCAACTCTCATGTCTCTGTCGGCCATCTCCATACTTGCTGGCGCCTACCATCTCCTTCTCAGCCCCCCTCATTGCCAAGCATTCTTCCTTAACAAGAGACGCATCTCCAACTCCTCCATCACATCTTTTCTTTTTATCGGTAACTTTTTTTTTCTTTTCTTCTATGATTATTTGATTTTTCCTTTTTTTTACTTTTTATGGCTTTTTTAAATGGTAAGATTGTAATGATAAAAGACAATGTGACATAGAAAAAGACTCAGCATGGAGGCATATTATGTATGTTGAAAGTGGAGAGAATGGCAAGACATATATTTATCTAATGTAGAACTATTGCAAAAATGTTGTAAAGGGGGTGGAGATGCTACAAGAATGAAAGAGCACATTTTTGGCTTTCACATAAATGCTACACCATCCATCAAGATGCCTAAGAAGGTGAAATAGGTGATCCATGCATATACAAACAAGGTGACGATAATAAAGCATTTAGCACAACAACAGTTTTATTACAAAATAGTGTTGAATCTTAAAATAGTGTTGAATATTATCATGTAGTAGGCCTGGTGGCAAAGATTCCTCATCTTCTTAGTCATACATATCAAGTAGAGGTACAAAAGGAACTGTGAATCAATGCATCATAAATGTGGAATATGATAAAAATGATGGCCTGAGGGTAGCCCATAGGATGTCTCTAAAATGTTAGAGAGGCTCCTAGATGTGTTTGCTTGATATTGGAAGATTTTTTTTATGAAAATATCATCCCATTTAATTTGACAACCACCCCTTGACAACCACACCTTCTTATCTGAACATGATTTATTCCACAGGTTCTAATGATCAAGGTTGGAAACCACCATCTATACATAGCCTAACAAATACGAAAGGAGGAACTAAATTCTATTGAAAAAAGTCACTGAACAGATTATGAGAACTTTGAATAAGACTAGAGTGACATCATGTCTGATAGTTGATTTGATATCAATGATAGAAGCTTAATCAATATTTTGATTAACAATCCTTATCTAATTATTTTCTTAAAGTTAGTTGAAGGGTTAGATCATATAAAGGATTTGAAGTATATCTGTAGACTTCTTGAAGGAGTTATAGAGGCGATTGGAGAGCATCTAGTGGTATAAATTGTTACAGATAAAGCTAGTGCTTAGGTGGAGGTTGGAAATAAGTTGATAGAGAAGAAATATGATTTGTGAGAAACTTACTTGTCTCAGCACAAGAATGCCTTAAACAAAGCACATAAGTTAGTAAGATCATTTACAATTATTTGAGGGTTTTTGGCTTTGATGAGAAAATTTTCTAAAAAAGAAACTCCTACGATATGATACAACTAGATTTGCTACAGCTTATTGGACTCTACAAAGCATGTTGAAAACAAGATAACCTTTGGAAGCTATATTCACTTCCACAAAATGGCTTTGATTCTTTCAAGTATATTTTTGCACTTTTTGATGCAGTCATAAAGAAGGTTGGGGAGCCTTTAGTGATATAAGTTGTTAAAGGCAAGCTTATGCTTATATTACAATGGCCCATAATATTTAATTTTCTAGAAACCCATAATTATGTATCCTTACGGAGGCCCGCAAACCTTTGTGAACAGCCACAAAGACTTTGTTTGCGTAGGTCCGTTAAGTTTGCATTATGTATTATTTTCTATTTATTTTAATTAATCAAATTTAGGATATTTTAATCAAAATATCTACTTATTTTAGTTTAGATAGAGTCTTAAATAACATTTAAGAAATAAATTTTCTATAAAGATAACTCTTTTAAGAGTATAAATACATAAAAAACTAATTTACTTCTAAGAATAGTATCAACTTTTCTAGCTTAGTAACCTTGCATGTCTTCAACATTTTAATTATGACTTTCTCTAACACAAAAAAAATATAATAATGTCTTTTCCTAGTCTAACTAAGTTTGTCTTGTTATGCTTGAACATCCTTGATGGTGTACACATTTTATGCCTACAATAGATTAAAAGTTAAAACAATCAGCTATGTTTCCTTTGATATTTATAATTATCAAAATCTAATCATAAATTTAGGCCTCAAGGGGTCAATAGTTACTTGCATAATTTCTTACTTTTTATTATGTTAGGATGTTAATAATATTATTTTTTAATATGTTAAATTGCTATGATGTTAATATGTTACTTCTTACTTTATACTTGCAATTTGCTGATTCTAAGACTTATGCCTCATAAAGCCTCACCTCACAGACATAAAATAGCTCAATACCTATTTACGCAATTTTATACCTAGGTCATGACCTACGCCCACCACATTAGAACATTGAGTAAAGAAGCATGACAAAAATTTCACCTAAACCCTAAACACATCAATCTCTCTTTGTTAGATTAAAATAGAGTACCGCTCCTCACGAGTTTTCAAGTGAAACCTAAATCCAATAGGAAGAGGATGACCGCGGAAATCACGTGCAGGAACACCAATGCTGTAAGACTTCAGATCTCACTGGAATCACAACCGCCAGGGCCCGTTTGGATGCAGGTTTTAGGCCAGATTTAGGCAATATTTAAGCTAAATACAGCCAAACGCCAAAAAAATACAAAGTTAAATCTTACGGTAAGTCTAATCTCTACTTCACGGCGTTTTCGCCATTTTTGCCATATATCCCGGATTTCGTAAATCCCTTTTTTTTGTGGATTTCGTAAGTCCCACTGAAGGAGCGCGTGAAATGGGAGAAATATCGTTACCTTCGCGGTGAGCTCCCTGCGCGACTTCCGATCCGACAAGAACAACGTGGAGGAGGCGGAGAAGCTTGACTCTTTTAGAACTCTACTTCACGCGAAGCAGAACAGCAACAAATAAATGCAGAAGAGGAAAAGCAAACAATAGACAGGTAATGGCGAGCGACTCTTTCGATGATCTACCTCACCGTCCTCACGCGAACCAGTGAAGCAGAAGAGGAAGAAACAGAGGAGCAAAGAGGAAAGCCAACTCGAATACAAGGATTAGACTAAGGGGCTGTTTGGTATCGGATTTACAGCGGGATTTAAGTCGGATTTACGCTAAATCCAGCCAAACAGTTTTTGTGCGCGCTTTAAATCCCGGGATTCGGTAAATCCCAGATTTACGGATTTACGGTTTAAATCCGGGATTTAGTAAATCCGAGGGGTAGTCGGATTTAACGGGATTTATCCGAAGAAGCGCGCGAAAGGGAGAAAGTTCCTTCACAGCCAGCGAGCTCCCGTTCTTGCTTCCGATCAAAATGTCGTAACTTCCGATCCGACAGCAAGGGAAAGTCGTCGAAGGAGCGAAGTCGAACAGCCTCGAATGAGCTGAAGAAGCCACGCGTGCAATCTTTACACCAACGAAAGCCCAACAGCACGGAAAAAGAGAAGACGAAAGGCAAAACCCTTTACACCTCTAAGGTATTATTGATTAACTTAATTAATATAATTTAAATTATTAATAATTAAATAAATTAATTATATAATTTAACTTAATTGCATAATTAATAATTAAATATTATTACAATTATATTAATTAATATAACTTAAAATATATATTATTAAATATATAATCAATAGTGTAAATAATAATTAACGAATAATTTGTATTTAACATGTTATTACTTTTTTATTAATTATGACTAGAAAGTCGTCGCGAGCACAAAAGTCGAAAACAATCCACGAAACAGGATGTCCGCAGAAAGACAAATGCGTTGACAATTATAAACACCAATAACAGACAATATACAGAAAAGCCGTAAGAGACGACGAAAGAGAAAGTATGAATAAATAGAAAAACCATAATATATATGATAATATGCCTCTAAAAGTTAATTTTAATTAATATAATTAACTTAATTAATATAATTTAAAATTAATAATAATAATATAATAATCTAATATTAAATTTAACTTGTATTAAATATTAGTTTGCATAAATAATTATCATATTTATATACTATTGTATTAATATGTAAATTAAATAGTTAATATTAATTAGATTAAATTAATATTAATATTAATTAATATTATTATATAAATTATATTAAATTGTTATTATAATAAGTAATTTGTATTCACATATTATTAATTTATATACTTATATTAATTTATTTTTAATTATAATTTATTTTAAGTTATAATTATAATTTTTCACATTTAAATCCCTAACTGTCATAATCTGAATATGTTACAAAACAGTTTCTCAGATTTAATAGGATTTAACATTTGGCATAACCAAACAGTTTTCAGGATTTAACATATTTCGGAATTACTAAATCCGGATTTAAAGGATTTACTAAATCCCACTTGTTGCCAAACAGCCTAATTCTTAATTTTTTAATTAGGCATTAATTTAATTAGCTAAATTAATAGAATTTAAAATAGAAATAATTAATTAGGTAATTAATGGTGTAAATATTAATTAAATAATTAGTTTGTAATTGAATATTTAAATGATTAATTAGAAAATTATAATTATTTTAGAACTTCAATTTTAAAATAATAATTTATAAAAAAATAATTAAGTGTAAATAGTATATAAATAATAATTTTTTTTTAAATTATATTAAATAATTAATTAGATAATTATCATTAAAATACTTATTAATAACACATAAATATTAGTTAAAAAATATTAATTTAAAATAAACCCTTATTATAGTATTCATATTTATTTTATATTAATTAATTTAATATATACATAATTATAATTATAATTATTGGTGTTATATAATATACAATAAAACATTCAAATTATTTATCAATTAATTACTTTAGTAAATTATTTCATATAATATTTTTATGAAATCATTAAACCACAAATAATAACACTTTTATAAATATTTAAATTTAAAACACATATATAACTTTAGTTATTATTAATTACTATTATTATTAATTAATAGATTTTAAGCTTTTTATTAAATTATAGTTATTAAAGTTAGTATTCTAAGTAATTAACTAATAAGTAATAATCAATTAATAATTTATAGAATCAATTACATTTAAATAATATATTTGACGGTAAAATACAACCTTTCTAATATGATCAAAAATTAAATTCACATGCGTTAAATATTTAATTTATTTTAATTTCTCATTTATTGCCTTTGATCAAAACCTTGCATCATTTTTTTTATTAATTATGTTTTTATTATATAATTTTAATTCAAAATTTTGTAATTATTTTCATCCAATTAATAATATTACCAGATATAAATATATATATATATAATACTATATATAACTATATATATATATATATATATCTGCATTTCATTCAGTAAAAATCCCCATGAAAAGTTCTACTGTTTTTGTTCAACTTGAGATGCTAGTATTGGAAATTTTGTATTTCATCACTATATAGAAGGGTTTCCTAACGACGTCCCGCCTCATTCGCTCGGCCTTGTCTCTGAAACTCTAGTGAAAGTGCTCCTGCATCTCGGATCACAGGTACGAGGTCTTTCATGTTTTCTGTTCTTATGGGGTTAAATCTTACATTTGGCGTTTCTTGTTATCTACATGATTGTTTTCTACTACTGAAATTAGCCTGTAGAATGTGGTTTTTTTACGGCATTACTTCTCTCTGAGGTGGAAACCAAGTGAAGGGCTTAAGGACTGTGTAATGGGGTTTGCTAATTGGACAGGAAGGTGGAGTCTTGATTGTTTTAGGAGTGGCTTCTTTTATTGACTTGTTTATTCATATTGGGCTTCTCAGGATGAGTGAGGATAGAAGCAGGAGCCCTGCACCTGCTCGCCGGCTCCGAAGCGAGCGAAACACTTCCCGTGACGTGCCATATAGGAGAGATCGTATTGGATACAGGTGCGCTTACATTGTCTGATGATATAATTTTCTCGGTGTATTGTTTTCAGAAGTTGTCTTTGTCGTTTCTAACATAGGAGCAGATTTTTGGTTTGTGTAAGGCTGGTTGCAGTTATAAATGTTATGTTGGTGGCTTCTTGGTGAATTCTCAAGCAAATTTCCTGTGATTTTTTGTTTTTGTAATCACCATTATTTCTTTATTATTTGTCTGGATTGCGGTGTCTCTTTTCAGCACGTGGTTATAAATAAGCATGTTTTCATGTTTTTTAATTATCTATTGCATAATAATTTTCCAGCAAAGATAATCATTTGTAAGACGGGTATCCTGTTTATTGATGATTTTAAATTTTCTAGATGATATATTTTTTTGGACAATAAGTTCTTGCCGTGGACTATAATTTATCTATGTCTTTGAGTCTTCTTCCATTGGACAACTAGGCAATGACCGTATCCTTTTCTTGGATTTCTATGAACAACAATTTTAATTGGTTTCCTTTGCTGGATGCCAAGCACTCTAGCTATTTTTACTTTGTATAGCAACCAATGCAGATTACAACAACCAAAATTGTTGTTTTCTCATTTGAATTGTTGCAAACAATAACCTATTCATCTTAATTTTGTTTGAAATGAATTGCAACAACAATATAAATCAAGAACAATATGAGGATGAAAACAACGGTAATGGAGTAAATTAGCAAGTGTGTCATAATTTTGGATGTGTTAGCCATAATACCCAACACTGTTTGTTACAGTACCCAATGTTGTTTGCTACATAACCAATGCTGTTTCTAGAGTATTCAACACATGTGATGAGAGGCATGAATGATCTTGTCATGCCCAAGAGGCTTAGGATCCTACCTAGGAGGAACTGACCCTGTCATGACCAAATGGTAACAATGGAAGGCCTACGATGAGGAATTCAAGAATTAGAAGTAAGATTAGCAGTATATGTAAGAGGCAGGATTGTGACTTTTATTAGATCCATTTAGATGACATTTGAGAAGATCTTTAGATGGAACAACCGTTCCGTCAAGATTTTTTAAGGATTATTCATAGAGGATGAACCTGTTCCAAGGTTTCCGAGAAGAGAACCAAGAAGGTGTTATCAAGATTATGAGGGTAAAAGTATATATATTATATTTTGAAGGTCAGGTGAATCCAGATGATTTTATTGATTGGTTGCTTATGGTCATGCATGTCTTTGATTACAAAGAAATGCCACCCGATAGGCTTGTTAAGTTACTAGCCATCAAACTTAAAAAAATGTGCGTCTATATGATGGGAGAGCTTTAAGAGAACTAGAGTATGGGGTAAGAATAAAACTGTTACTTGGGATAAAATGAAAAAGGAATTATAAAAGAGATGCTTGTCTTTCCATTACAAAAAACATTCATTAAACTTCATAATTTTTAGCAAAAAGGTTTATTTGTATGAAGAGCATATAACTAACTTTGAGTAATTTTGTTGAAGTGTGATTTGGTAGAATTTAATGAATATACTATTGCATGATTCATCAGCTATTTGTGTTTTACACTTGCTAATATAATAAAGTACAACAATCTTGAAAGTTATTACACGTGACCAAATTGAAATGACTGCAAACAATTGCTAAAAGCTTTCCTTCAGGATTAGGACCAAAACCCCAAGCTTTTCAAAAGAAAAGCCATGAGGACACATAATGAACATGGGTTCATGTTAAATAACCACCCAGTACTTGGGATGAGGCGATGATGATGATTAATATAAATGCAAGTTGATTGATGATATGGTTTTATCAATGATAGATGCTAGCATGATTATGCAAGTGTAGGGAAATCTCAGTTTGCCACCCATATAATTAGTATCGAACTAACAGTTTTTTAAGTAGTGGGCTAATCTAATTTTGTTTTATGCAACTATGCCTAAATGATGATTTAGTCTGGATATAGGTTTTCATGTTTTATGCGACTGTAGGTCCTCATTAATGTTTCTTTTAAGCAGGGGCCTTGTTGTGTTTAAATTCTCCTTTAGCCTTCTCCTATAGAAGCTGGCCATGAGAGCGCTGAGCACAATGTCATGGCCAAACAACAACCATCTTTTGTTTCATATTGTGCTAATTTTTAGTTCTCAACTATGCATTTGTTTAATAAGGGGTTGTTTGGTTGGCTAAAAATGGAATGCAGTGTAAAATGAATACGTTGGAGTTGTTTGGATGAGTGTAAAGTAAATTCAGGTGAATAATTTTTTTGTTTGTTTTGAAGTAAAAGGAATGCAGTGTAAAGTTTAAAAATGGTGGTCAGTGGTGGGTGACGGTGGTGGCGGAGGGTGGCGGCGGTGGTGGTCGTGCAAGCTGCTCGCGGTGTAAAGCATTCTTGCTCAAAATTAGACGATTTTGATTTACCTCAAAAATAAACTGTAATGGTTGACACTACATTAAATTTACTTTGAATTCCTTTTTCATCTAAACAAACACCGAAGTTGTTAAAACCCCTATATTTGGAATACTTTACATCCTAAAATATTTCAATCAAACAACCTCTAAAAGAAGTGGAAATGCTAGCAAATAGATTCTTTTTTCCTTACTGATGTTTGTCTATTTGAGTAAATCCCATCCTGCGAAGTGCAACTTCTTGTATTTATAAACCTCGTGTAGATCAACAGATCTTCCTGTTGTCAGAATAAAAGGATGATGAATATGATTTATGAAGCTAGTGTTAAACTTTGTTGGAATTATGTTCATTTCTTTGCAGGCCACTATGTCGTACATGTCAAATATAATCATCTGTAAGTTTATCATCTAAAAGAATCTAAGGACATTGCTAGGCTGGTAAACTATTGTAGGCATGTATGGTTTTGCATGCTTCGGTACTTTTATCCCTGAAATTGTTAGTAAAAGCTTCTCAGGGTTTTTTATCTATATTAAACAATAGCGGAGACATGCATTTACTTGGAATTGCTCCTGGCCGATCCCTTCTCTTTTTAAACATTAATCATCCTTTGTAGCCGTAGCATCAGTTGCAAAATGTTCTAACCTTTGCAGCCATCATGTTTACTTTTCCAAGAATGTTTGATAAACTTGTTTGATTATCTTATTTGTTAGTGACCCTGATATATGTATAGTGTATCTTGCTAATGGAGAAATCACATGACATGAAGCTTAAAATTCTTACATCAAAGTTGAATAGCAGTGATTTGGATGCTAATGGAACCTTGTCTTAGAACTAGAAAGTCAAAAGTTGATCATCTATGCATTTGATGCACTGTTTAATTGTTTCATCAAGCTTGGACTTGATTATCTAAAACAAAATGTTAAGGCAAGTTTTGTGGTGGCTTTATACTCAATTTTGGATCGTTAAAGATTTCCTTCTAAATTTGCATGACTGGATTGAACATAGAAGTAAAGCTTTCAATTAGCAGAGTTTAACAAATTTGTTATAACTGTCATATTAGTGATTTATTAAAGTTTATTATAACATTTGTTGCTCTGTATATTTGATGAATCTTATTTTCTTTGTACTCATATAGATTATTCCCCATTTATTCCAGGCAGGTCTTGTGCAAGAATTGCAAGCGTCCCGGCCATTATGCTAGAGATTGCCCTAATATATCTGTCTGCAACAACTGTGCACTTCCAGGGTAAATTACTTTCTTTCTGTCAGTTTTTGATTGAGTTGATTCAATATCAATCATCTTTCTAAATTATCTGAATTTCTTAATATTTTATTTCCTATTCTAATTGTCTAGAATTCGTGTAGTATTCTTATAGATACCACAGCCTATGGATTTTTCCGAAACCTTGTTCTCAGATCCTTATTTTTAAGAATGTTTTTAGTAATTTAATACGATAACTAACGAGGGAAGTGCTTACTATCTTTTCTTTTGGGGTGATGTGAATCATTCCATATCCTCTACATTCTAACCTTTGGTATCCGTGTATTTGAGCATTTCTTTTTGTGCTTTTGCATTTTGTCTGTTCAAGCATATCATGAAACTCAAGTTGATCCCTGGCTATGCTAATTTGTTGTCTTTATTTAAAATTTTGAAAATCATGTTCCCTCAGTTGGGTTTTTTTTTTGTCCTTGACATTTATACAAAAGGACCCACAATGAGTGATTAGGATTAATGCATAAAGTATTCACAATGAGATTAAAATCACTTGAAGACACAAAGATTTACATGATTCGACTAACACAATAGCCTTCACCTGCTGAAGGGGAGTTGTTCTAACAAACAATCAATATCATCACAAAATAGAAACTCCAAATCTCTCAAACCAAACTTAAGAGTCACGCAAGAGTTGATAGAAGCACAAAATTTTTAGTATTACAGAAAATTCTCCACTTGAATGTTCTGCAAAAAGGTAGCTTCACACATGTATATGGAGCCATTATGTTATTTTCGATACCACCATACATGCAACTTCTTAAATAGTTCTACAGAATTCTTTTTCTTTTTATTCTTTCTATTTTTTCCCTCGTCAATTTACCTCTCTTTTCTCTAAATAACATGGCATCTCTTTTTCTTTAGCGTCCTACAAGTATAAACATGAATTCCACTTCTTTACAAGGAGCCCATAAGCAGAAATGTCATTTCGGTTTTTTGCATAAGACTTGGCTCCTCTTTGCATGCAGAACTTATCTTACTGCTTTGCATATTTATAGGGATCGTACGAGAGTGCTGTAAAATTTAAATAGGGTTTAAATTTTGACTTGTAGATATCTATTTGAAAATTGATCAAAATGAAAGGAAATTTTTTTATTTTCCTAAACTATCTATTTTGAATTTTGTTTTTATCTTAGAGAACTTAACTATTTAATTTAATATCCGAACATTCTCCTCCTTTGCTTAATAATATGTCAAAATGATTTTGGGTATTCTATGTGAGTCCTCCCAAAACTTAGCTCTGGAAATCCTGAAGAGTTGAGCGCAAACTCAGCAAGCCTAGATGGCTCGCTTGAACTTAGGAGGGACTAGCTTAGATAAAAAAAAGGCAAAGAGGAATTCAATCACCTGTAGAGAAGATGCAAGAAAATACTCTTCGTCATACGCCAGTAAATAGTTATTCTCACCAGAAAAGAGAAGTCCAAAATAAAGAGAGAATACCATATGAAATATTATAAATAAATAATGATGAAGTAATTGCTTAAAATTATCCATTTAAAAGTTTCTTTATAGGGTATCTTCCCATGTGTTTGGAATCATCACAAAATTTGTGGCAACACTGTAATCCATGGTCAAACAATATCCTATTTTTAAATATGGTATTATGATAGGAGTTGTACTAGAAATGGTATAGGTGTGATTATAAATTAGAGTTTAAATATGATGTTATAAAAATTAATAGATTTAGAGATATAATTATAGCTTTAAAGAATATTATTGATGTTAAGACTATTAATATTATAAGTGTTTTTGCTGCTCAAGTAAGTTTGATGTTAAGATTATCAATATTATAAGTGTTTATGTGTTCAAAATTAAAATTTTGGAATTGCTCAAAAGAACTAATATATAAGATACCTGTTGAAGAAAGGTTTGTGGCTCCAAAAATTCGTGCCCCAGCCTCTCTGCAAACCCCTTTCTTTTTCTTTTCGAGTCATCAAGGAGAGTTTTAACATTTAAGTTCCAAGGAAAATTTTCAGAAAATAGATTGAGTTCTAAATAAGACACTACTCAAAGATTTCGTCCTCATTTTACGAGAACTTTATGATCTGAGTTTAGGTTTCATATAGGCATAAGCCCTTATAGTTAATTACACCTCCCGATGGTTAGACAGAAATTTCGATTAAGGCTAGTCATTGAAATTGATACATCATATATTGTGTAAGTAGCAGCATGGGTTTAGATATTTGAGAATTTGATATTTAAAATAAAAAAATTTCAGCATCTTTTAGTTAAAGCAGATGGTGGGTGGGAATGATGATGAGCCCGATCAAGATCCCGTGGTTTCGTCGTCCTAGGTCATCATGGTCCATAGTCTATTTAGTCAGAGGAGGTAGTTAACCCAACCTGATAAAAGGATCCTTATCAATAACCATGTGTTGCTTCATCCAAGGGTACTTTGTAGACCTTGGGTGAATATTTGTCTAAAATGATAAATTTGAATCCACCTTAGCTAACAGAGTGCTTTGTACCCTATCGATTATATCCTATTGATTTATATATCAAGGATTTGAAGTCATTAGGGAACATACGAGCTCTAATCATGACCGTAATTTATTGGTGCTATTTGACGATGAAACCACCTGGTTCAGAAGGTCCCGGTCATAATCGTTTACCCGTGGTGCCATTTGGCAACGAAATCACTGGTTAGAGAACACATGTCATGTCCTTACTGACAAGAGACTGTTTGAAAATGAATTTTAGTGATATTTTCGACCAGACATTGGCTCGTTGTGAGCTAAAATAATTTTCACATCTGTTCATCTTGATAAACTGTTGCGGATAGTGGATGTGTATTTTTGCTTTGAGTGTTTGATGATTAATTTAAATTTTAAATATTTTAAATTTTTGGTGATTTTGGACTTTCATAGACATTTTGGAGGCATTTAAAATGTTTGTGGTCCTATCCGGTTGAGATTTACATTCAACACGGCCATCATCAGGGTATATTTATTGGCAACTTCATTTCATTGATTAGACCTTATCAACTTTATACCTATTGACAGAGAATCGGGTTCATTGTAGGTTTTGTGGCTTTATAAATGAATTTTACTTATTGTAGGCTTTGAAGGCTTAATATGAACATATAAAACAAATATCCCGGTTGACACTGCGACCATATATTTGTTTAACTGTTCGAGCAATGTCAACTCCTATTTATCCACATAGAAGGATCGGGTTCGGACTTGAGTTAATTTCTTGACCAGCGAAGCATCTTCAAATATCACATGTGTGCGAACAACATGCTCGTCGAGGCCCATGCAAGTGTATTCTCTTACATGTATTCTTGCATAATGTATTTGTGTTGTAATTATATGTATGCGGTGCCATAGGTGTATGCACATATTCATGTGTATGCATGTATGAACGCGTCAGCACTCTTTCGACACATGAGGGGGTATTTTAAAATGCTTGTCACTGATCAGCTGTGCGAAGGATTGTCATTTGAGTGCATGCATCATCTTGCTTAGAAACTTGTAAACGCTTTCTGTTTGCTTGTATGAGTGTTGTAGATCCGGTGACATTTTTTAGCAACACGTTGGATCTCATTTGATCTGCTGCTTGCTATTATTTTCTTCAATATCTAACCTGCATGAGTATATTTCTGTGCACCATTGGTCGTTGTTGCTTCCTGCAGACGAGTTGTCCTGCACTGACGAAACCTTCTGCAGTTACTCATAGATGCTTGCACTTATCACAGGCCGCTATGCTCGTTTGTAGATAGCAGTTTATGCATATGATGGATCTTCTACGACAGTTCGTAGTGTTTGCATTTGTCACAAATTGATCGCCTTTACTTGCACGGGATCAATATATTTGCTTGACGTTGAATGGTGCTTGATTGCAAGGTCGTAGCATCCATTGCTTGTCGTTGATTATCACTGTTGTGTCTACGACGCGTCTTCTATCCTTGTCAGGAAGTGCTCACATTCATTGCAGCTCTTCCTGCGTTTACTTGCAAATAATGCATTGCATGCATTCCTGTGTTTATTAGCAGATAATGTACTCCATGTATTAAGGGCAGTGGCATGTAGTTGTTTGTACGTGTTGCAGGTGCATCATCCTTGTATGTAGATGATAAGTTTTGTGTTCACATTCACAAAGGATCCCATCGTCCTTGCAACATATCTACTACTGTTGTTGCTACTCATTAACAAATCAATGCACTTTCCTTGTCAGTTAATCACTGTTGATTGCAAGTTAGTTGATATTGACCAGAAGGATGTCATGGCATTCACTCCATGTTTCTCAAGTACATTTGTAGAGTGACTGTCAGTGTTATCGTTTATAAGTGCATGTGTGTATTTGTCTGCAAGCTAATGCTGACTATGGGGTGGGATTCATTCACTTGAAAATTTCCACCTTCGTCTATATTGATTGTAGGAATGTTGTAGCATTCAATGTGTGTTGCTTGTATATATTTGCAGGAGACATACTATTTGCAAGTACATTTATGTGTTCATTGCATATTGATCTTATATTCTTAGGGGAATGACATATTCATTTTCCTATTGATTAGCATTGGCTCTAGGAATTTCCTTACATTCATTTCCTACCGCTGGTCGTCACTCGTAGGTATTCTATTGTGTATGTAACAATTCTTCCGTTTTCACCAGTAGGTATTTGCATTCATCGTGTGCTATATTGTATAATCGAGGCATACGCCAAACCAAAAGATGCAGTCGAATAGGAATAGTGTACGCAGTAGACACGAGCACCAAACATCGTCGAAGAAGGCGAAGCAGACAAACGAACAAGCGGGCAAAGTCCAACATGAACGAAGAAGGTGAAGAAGTTGTTGTGGTGCAGTAGATAAAATCGAACAACAAAGAAGTCGAACAAGAACATATAAACGCCACTCGATTATGTTTAGTTTTAATACTTTAATTTAGTATTATTTTGAGGTGAATGCCTCACATTATTGAGACGAAGCATGCCTCATTACGTGTCTCAGTGTAATCGAGGCGTACGCCTCACCAAAAGATCGTGGTGTGTTTACATCAAAGCGCCACACGAAGGAATTGCGTAGAGGCGCACCGTGCGCCTTTGATTGCGCAATTTTAAACAATGATGCTAATTATGCAGTATCACTAGTGGATAGAAAATTCATAATTGGATACTGTATATTTTTGCAGTAAGAAACAATATGTTTATTCAAGATCTAGTGCTGAATTTGAATTTAGAGTCATTGCCCAAGGAATTTTCGAGCTTCTATAGATTAAAATTATTTTCAAAGATTTAAAAATCAAATTATAAGGGCCAATAAAGATATATTATGATACCATCAGCTTGTTCATAATCCAGCACAACATGATCATACCAAGCGTGTGGTGCAATATAGATATTTTTATAAACTAGAAATTGAATAGTAAGTTGATACACACCTCATATGTGCCAACAAAAAAAATTGCAGACATTCTCATCAAATGACTCTACGATTTCATATTGAAAAATATTGTATGCAAGCTTAGAATGATAGATTTATATCATTCAATTTGTTGAGGAGTATTGAAGGATCGTGGGACTTACAAGTCAATCAATCTTGATAGAATTCCTAGAGTACATGGATTAAAGATTCTAACTATTAGATTGATCCTCTTATGGCCTTAGAATGTAATATATGTGCCTCCTTTCTATTCTAGTCTTAGGCTCTTCTCGGTGATTTTCTTAAAATAGCTTTGATTTATTTCTATTGCAAGTCTTTTGTAGAAGTCTATGACTACTTCCACAGTTGCACGCTTTGTACATAATCAAGTAATAAAATTCAAAGTAATTTTTTTCTTCTTTTCTTTTTTTCTTCATGGATTTCTTAGGATAAAATTCTAAAGATGGAGAATGTATTATTCTGTGAATGCATGGATCTGCAAACCATAAGCTTTGACATTTACAACCTCTTTGGAATTCCCTAGCCAAGAAAAAGAATGTGAACAACATTGTGAAAAAGATGGTATATCATGTCTCTTTATACGGTATATTTTTTTAAAGCTGATTTGAAGCCAGCATGAAATTGCACAGCTTTTGATTCAGTTTGTATTTGACCCAAGTTGAACCACATTATAAGCGTGCGACTTCAGATGTTTGCTAAATTCTTGTATAAAATGTAGTGTAACAAAGTTTGCTCCTTATCATTAATTACTACCTTTATACTCAAATATCTAGCAATTGAGTTAAATTCATTAAAATATAATTTAATGGATATATATATATATATATATTCGATCAAGATAAAGCTTATGAACGGGCTTTTGATCATGTACAAAGACATTCACATTCAAATTTGTGCTCTCCACTAGTTATTTCTTGTACCTCATTCACGAAACTCAACTGGATCGCTTGGAGTTATTTGTTACCATTTTTTTTATCCATCTCTATTTTATCTTTATAACTCGTACTCTTAGACATATTCATGCACGTCATGGTCTCCTGATAATCCTAACTGAATTAGAACAACTCTTTTTGGTTCTACAAAGCCTAAAAATCCTTCAGGCATTAAACTTCATCTAATTATTTTTAGTTATTGTATTTCTCGTTAGGATTTGAAGCTTTGAATGAAGTGTTCTGAAAAAAAAAAAAAAAAAAAAAAAAAAAAAAAAAACTTGCATGCAACAATGAGTTAGTAGTGAATATGACAAACAGAAGTAGTATTCATAGAGCCATCAAACACTAGAATAAGAACATGATTTACATGGTTCGGTCAAAACAACAGCCCATGTCTGCAGCACTAAAAGCATTATTCCCCAAAGTCAAATATGGTCAATATCACCACAAATGATAAAACACTAAAGGCTTCGTTTGGCACAGCTTTCCACTCCTTCCTAAAACTGTTTTCTAGTATAAATTTTTCTAATTCAAAAAATTTTTATACTAGAAAACTGTTTTAGAAAACAACAAAAAAGCTATTCCAAATGAAGCTTAAATCTCTCGAACCAAACACAAGATAGAATCACACGGGAGTTGATAGATGATAATCATAGTAGATTAAATAATACAAGGAATTTAAACTAGAATGCTCTTCAAAAGGGTATAAATATGCATGTCTATGGAACTGTCTTGTTATTTCGGCCTTATCGTGCTTGCACTGTGTTTAAATAGTTCTCCACAATCATAGAAAATTGAATCAGGTGAATTTATTTTGCTTTTCTCTCGCCCTCTCTTTTCTCTAAATAACTTCCAGCCTCTCTTTATCAAAAGAAGCCCACAATAATAGTCCGGAATTCCACTTCGTCAGCTAAAAGTAGGGAAGTGTTGAATTGTTAACACTAGATAGATCATCTTTGCATGCGCCATATGCCCTTCTTTTAATTTTTACAGGGGCCATAAGGAAGTGATTTTAAATTTAAATTAGATTTAAATTCTTATTTGAAGTCATTTAAAATAACAATTCTGTAGAAATTTTAAATTTAATTTTATCCTAAAAAATAATAATTTATAACACTGCAATTGCCAATTCTCCAACTTTGGATGTAAAACATAAATATTTGTATTAAGTAGTCGATAACCAGTATAAAATTTATCGAATATTCATGATATGAATTCCAAAAAATGCTAATTTATGTTTGTTCGAGCACATATTTTGATTTTTTTGCTTACATCTGGTAAACTCGGTTCAAATACCATAGCATTATCATCGATCCTAGAACAGTAGCAATTAGCAAATACAATATATGGCTTCAGGACTTTAACAATCAACAACTTTTTTATTGATTCCAAGGTTGCAACAATCAGCAGAAGTAAAAACCAACCATATGACAGGAATAATAAAAAGAAAATGTAGGACGCAATATATAGAAAGAACCCTTAAAAAGCTAAAATTAAGACTAGTCAATATGCTAATTAAATTGGGATGCTCACAACAATTAATCAAGCATAAGAGGAAGTTAGAATATTAGATAACACAATTCATCTCAATCGGATCAACATCATAGGCATACTTTAACATACAATGAAAATAAAAAAAAAAGAAAAAAAAAGCAATGCAAACTGAAAGAAAGACAATGCAAATTACTCCTCTTCTGAATTTTTATCTTATGTGATTATGCAGAGTATATAATTTCAAATTCTCATTAATTCTGCTTGGTTAAAAAAATTATTCTGGACAAATTAAGCATGTGTTCAAGTATGGGCAGAACTGTTATGCTTCTTGTTGAGTAATCCGTGAGTCATATGAAGATATGCCATGCTAATCCCATCTTCTATGGTAGCTTCAAGAACAAAGCTAGTAGACTTGTCTGATATAGTGTTGGATATAAAGTAGCAATGCAGATATATATTGATGAAATATGTTAAATCAGATGTGTTGAAGTTTGAACTAATATTAGTGCTTCCAGGGATATATAGTTTATAATCATTTGTCCAATGCGGTGCAAGATTTTATATGGGCTGACCTTTCTTGTTGTTAATTTCTTAAATTCCCTTTAAGGAATTATTTTAGCATTAGATGCACCATTATGTTATCACATAGCTTGACTTTTGTTTGCGTTATTAAACTTATAATAATTATTATTATCAGTTGATTTTCTACAAATATCTTCATGTAGAGCATGCATATGCCACCAATCATTGTGCAAATTGATTAGGTCTAGATTCAGCAGGAAGTTCAACAATATCTATTTGTTTTCAAAAATGATATCCTATGACAATTTCAAATGGATTAATACTTGTAGACCTATTAACAAAAGAATTATATGCCAATTCAGTCATTGACTCGTATTAAATTCTAACCAGATTCATGTTCTTTAATTATATTCTGTAATAGATCCCCAAACTCCTATTAACTTGGGGGTTATAAATAGTTGAAAACTTGTTAGACCGGTCCACTGAACCGGTCTAGCCGGTCCAGGCGGGACCGGTTCACGGGCGAATATCACGAAACAGGTGATTTGTTCGCCTGGGCGGAGGCCGCGCGCACCGCGTGCCTTGCGGGAGCCGAATAGGAAGCTTTTTTGGGGAAATTAAGAGGGGAATTTGAATGTAGGGACTGTTTAGGGATTTCCTTTTGATTTGTATGCATTAAATAGTAGATTTTCCTAGGGTTTGAGGATCTTGAATTTGGCTGAAATTTGAGATCTCTTAGATTTAGGTTTTCTTTGGGCTCTAGCGGCGTCTGGAGATTTGGGAGAGATCGATCCTCCTCTCGAATTGAGGATCAATTGTATCTTGCTCTTTTATTCATCGTCTAAGTGGAATACAAGTCTTTTCTTGAGTTTTCTCTCGTATTTTCCCGAACAAGTGCTGTTTTCCTGCTGTAGACAGCCATTTGGCTGTTGTTGGTTCGCCGATTTTGGATAGGTTGCTTGTGAATACAAGCACTTCCTATCATATCACTGCTGTGTCTACAACACATCTTCTATCGTTGTCAGGAAGTGCTCACATTCATTGCAGCTCTCCCTGCGTTTACTTGCAGATAATACATTGCATGCATTCCTATGTTTATTAGCAGATAATGTACTCCATGTATTAAGGGTCTCCTACAGTGGCCTGTAGTTGTTTGTACGTGTTGCAGGTGCATCATCCTTGTATGTAGATGATAAGTCTTGTGTTCACATTCACAAAGGATCCCATCGTCCTTGCAACATATCTACCACTATTGTTGCTACTCACTAACGAATCAATGCACTTTCCTTGTCAGTTAATCACTGTTGATTGCAAGTTAGTTGATATTGATTGGAAGGATGTCATGGCATTCGCTGCATGTTTCTCAAGTACATTTGTAGAGTGACTGTCAGTGTTATCATTTGCAAGTGCATGTGTGTATTCATCTGCAAGTTAATGCCGACTATGGGGTGGGATTCATTCACTTGAAAATTTCCACCTTCGTCTATATTGATTGTAGGAATGTTGTACCATTCAATGAGTGTTGCTTGTATATATTTGTAGGAGACATACTATTTGCAAGTACATTTATGTGTTCATTGCATATTGATCTTATGTTCTTAGGGGAATGGCATATTCATTTTCCTATTGATTAGCATTGGCTGTAGGAATTTCCTTACATTCATTTCCTACCGCTGGTCGTCACTCGTAGGTATTCTATTGTGTATGCAACAATTCTTCCGTTGTCACCAGTAGGTATTTGCATTCATCGTGTGTTATATTGTATAATCGAGGCCTACGCCACACCAAAAGATGCAGTCGAATAGGAATAGTGTACGCAGCAGACACGAGCACCGAACATCGTCGAAGAAGGCGAAGCAGACAAACGAACAAGCGGGCGAAGTTCAACAGGAATGAAGAAGGTGAAGATAGGGGCGGAGCCAGGATTTTTTTCATGTGGGGGCACAATTCAATGAAGTAAAAAAAACCCTCAACCTTTTTCATCCGGGCTTGGGACCGGCAGTGGCGGTTTTAATTTTTTTTTTTTAAATCATTAGATTCATTATAAGAACATAAAATATATGATAAAGCAAAAACAAACTTACAATTGAGAACAATAATCTTGAAACTCTTCGTATCTGTAATCTATAATTTCTCCCGTCGAGTCTTCATCTTTTGAAATCGTTGTACAATCAAGTCATTGTCAATACCAGTAAAAATATCCTTCTCAATATAAGTAAACAGTCATTCATCCAAGAGTCTCCCATACGATTGCGTAAACAATTTTTTATAATGTTCATTGCAGAAAATGCTCGTTCAACTTTTGCTGTAGCGATTGGCAATATCATAGCAAGCTTTATAAGTAAGAACACCAAATGATAAATCTCATTTTTCCTAGTCTCCACCATTTTCTGAGCAAGTTCTCCAAGTCCTTTTAAATTCATAAATACATCATTCAATTTCATATCAACAATGAAATTCGCCACACTCAATCCATACTTTGAAAAAAGTGATTCAATAGCCAACTTTAGTGTTAGAGATGACGTGTCCCCAACATGAACAATCCCAATGAAACGCTCGATAATACATCCGCGTGCATCAACATAACGTAAAGCAACAGCAACTTGTTCTTTTACTGATACATCACGAGATTCATCAAGCAAAATTGCAAACACATCATTTCTTAATTTATTGATAATAACATTTGAAACCTCAATTGTTGCAGCTTCTGTGATTTCTTTCTGGATTTCTGGAGCAACTAGTTTATTATTTCCAGGAGCATTTTCTAAAACAACTTTATTTATATCTTCATTATGATTAGCAAGAAAACACAATAGTTCAAGAAAGTTCCCTTGATTTTTTGAGTCCTCAGATTCATCATGTCCACGGAATGC